AAAAAAAAGCAAAACTGATTGCCATCAAGTTAGTTCCAATCCTCCATTAACTTTCTGAGGCTGTACATTGCAATGGGAGAAGACTGCCCACCTTTCTCCTAAGGACCCTCTGGAGAACTGCAGTCTTTAAATAAGAAGCACAAGTCGCTACAGGCTATGCCACTAGAAAGCTGTTAACAAATAGATCTTAAAGGGTGTAATAGATCTTGAGGGTGTGTGTGTGTGTAGTTGTGAGAGACAAGGGTCAAACCAGTAACTAGATGAAGATTTGGAATGGAGAGTTGCTCTTAAGTGTTGACTATGATCCACTGTGACCTTATGAACAGCAGATCAAAGCCTTGCCCTCTCCTGTGCCATTCTCACACACTCTACTATGTTGTAGTGACTGTGTCAATCCATTTCCATAAGAATTTTCCTCTCTTGCTGACCTTCTATCTTTCTCAACATGATGTTCTTCTCCAAGGACTAGCCCTTCCTGATAATATGCCCAAAGTATATTAGATGAAGTTTCACCATTCTTACCTCTAAAAAGTACCCTGATTGCACTTCCTCCAAGATAGATTGGTTTGTTCTTTGGGGCAGTCCACGGTATATTCACTACTTTTTGCCAACACAATTCATAGGTATAAATTTCTCTTCCTTATACATCTTCCTTATTCCCTGCCCAACTTTTGGATACATAGGAAGCAATTGAAAAATACCATGGCTTGGATTAGGCACACCTTAGTCTTAAAACTAACATCCTTACTTATTAGCACTTCAAAGAAGCCCTTGACAGCGAATTTTTCCAGTGCAATATGTAAACTATGGATCTAAATAAAATTAAATCCTTGAATGGAGAGAGCAGGGGTAAAGAGGAGAGACAAGGCTGGCAAAGCCCTCAGGTACCAGACCCAGAAGGGCTTAGCTGCTCAAGAGGAATTCCATTCTGTCCTTAAGCAATAAGGAGTCATGGAAGGCTACATGTGGGGGAATGAGATGATCAGGTCTGTGTTTTAAAGAGATTTCCTGACTGAAGAGCAGAGAAGGGTGTGGAAAGGATAGGGCAAGGAGAGGTTCCAGTAGACTGGTAAGGAGACTACTGCAGATTTACAGGTGAGTCCTATCATAGAGCTGGTACTTAAGAGTTAATGATGAGAGCAGAGGGCTGAGGATGTGTACAGGCGAAGCCACAGAATCGCCCAGTTTGATGGATGGAGGGAGGTGGTCAAGGTACAGGTGAAAAGACAGGGTAAAAATGGGCAAGGACCAATGGTGATTAATTTTATAAAACATAATGCATGAGAATGATTTTAAGAAACAAAATATGAAAGAGTAATATGAAACACAATGTGTACGAACTTGGTAAGCAAACCTATATAATAAAAAGAGTTAATAGGTGGCTGAAGGAGAGAAAAGGTGACCTTTGGTCACATTACAGCCTGAACAACTGATCAAGTGACTTGGCAAGACGCTGAGTAAAGAAATTTAGTATGAAGGCATTTACCAAAATCTGACAACTTTCTTGAGGCGGCGCCCTGAGGTCAAGCAAGGTGCAGCGGAAATAGCTCCAGGCAACGCCTGCAATGATCCCTGGCCTTTGGCAGCTGCAGAGTCCAAAGTGGTAGATTGGTGGGATTGGGAGAGGAAAATTGAAAGGGTCTGGAAAAGTACCAAAGGACTAGGGTCTCGCAAGAGACTAACCCCTCTAGGGCACGGTTAGGAGTCTGCGCACTTCTCTGGGGGCGTGTCCTCGGCCAGTCCAATCAGGTGAAGGAGCTGGGATTGTTGCCCAGGCAACGGGACGCACAGGCTGGCGCGAGGCACCCGGGCAGTTTTGATCCAACCCTGAAGAAGTCTCGTTATGTCACGACCAAAGGTAAGCCTGGCACCTCATTCAGATGCCTTCGTCGCCTGTAGAGAGAGGAAGTCGCTGAGTGTGAAATTGGGGGTCTGGGTGGAGGGGTTCTGATGGACAAATAAGAACACGATGGTCACAGAGGACAGATGACAGCCTGTCCTGGGCTGCCACATGCTGTTGCTGCACGTGTCCCCAGAGCGGGCTGCTGCTGGGAAGTTGACAAAACTCCTGGGTTCTCAGCTGCAGTGAGCGTTTCCTGGGACCCCAGGGTCAAGTCAAGGATTTCTGATTTCCTGATGAGAAGCCTTTAGAAGCTATTTTATTCTGTCATCTGCCACATAACTAAAATAATCATTCAAAATACCACCTTACGAAGCCTCGTCCATCGCTGGACCATGATGGGGGGTCACAGACGTGAATCAGACAAATCAACGTCCTCTAAGAATTCACAGGCGGACTCCTTCATTTTAAGAATGTGGAATGTGAAACCCAAAGAAGAGAAATTAAAAGCTCGGTAATTACTCTGTCCCCCCACTCATAAATGGCACTTCCGTTTCCTAAATCCCGTGCCAACAACAAAACAACGAGTTTATCTTCTCTCGGAGTCCTCATCCTCGGAACTTTGTACCATGATTCCTTATTCATGTGATTATTTGTTTGCTGTATGCCTCTCCTGCAAGACAGTGTGCTCCTTGAGGGCGGAGACCGTGGCCGGCTTGCTCTTTTTATTCCCAGTGCCCAGCATAGCGCTGACAAAAGCAGACTTTGGTCAAATGTTTGATGAGTGGCTACAGTTGAACTACCCACCTGAAGCCCAAGCCAGAAACCTGGGACTGACTCCTTGACTCCCTGAATCTTCATCACCTTCCACATCCAATAAGACCTCCTCCTTCATATTTATAAAGAAATATTTAATCTATTCATCCATTCTCTTCATCTTAACAATCACTATTCATGATCCGGTTCTCAAAAAGAAAGATCCAGTTCTGTAAACATGCAGATTTGAATAATCTTGTCCTTTCCGAATTGTATTATAAAACCAGAAAAGAGGGAAGAAACTTCCCAGCTCTGATCAATCTGGCATGTTGCTTTGAAGGGAAGGACAGACTGCAGACTCCTGAGAGCTGCACAGGGCAAGGATTGTGAATCCTCATCTTAAATCCGTTGGTCATATTGTCAGGAGGGTGTTGGAGAATCATGCTGGGGAAAAAGGAAGAGTCAGAGTGAAAGAGGAAGACTTGCAACAGGATGGATTGACCTAGTGACTGTGACAAAGGGCTGGAGCATATCAGAGATGGTGGGGATGGTGCAAGATGGGCCAAGATTCAGATCTGTTCTGTATAGGGTCACTATGAGTCATAGCTTGCTTGACAGCATGTAGCAACAAACAACAGTGAGCTTCCCTTCTAGATCATTTTGTACAACAGGAAATAAACATCTACGTAAACATCTGCTTCTGATCAACGTAACTTACTCCTTTGAAGGGAAGGACAAATTGCAGGCTTCTGAGGAGACTCACAGACAAGTGTTAGCCTATACTGTCAGTCCAGATGTGGCATAGCCATGTGTTCATGAAACAAAAATATATATGTTGCTTCTTGTGACACTATGTATGTTGTTATTGTTGAAAGAAAAGGTCAAGACTGTTTGGGACTTTGTGGTCTCTTTCAAATGTTATAAATTGAGTTGTAGATATAATCTTATTTGGGAAGAGTGTTTTCTTTGTCATGTTAATATATATTTGACCCTCTCTCTCATTGTTGTCAAGTAGGAAATGACTCATAGCTGACCTTCCAGCTGGTTTTCAGAGGCTGTAATTGCTCTGGAGGAGATTGCCACCATCTTTTTCCTCTGGAGCAAGCTCATAGATTTGAACTGCTTCCCTTTGAATTGGCAATGCAACTCCCTAGCCATTAGGCCACCAGAACTCTTTATCTTACTCCAATTGGGTGAATTCTAAATCTACTGACTTCTGAGTTAGAAAAAAAGCAGATTAAACACGAAAACACGCCTAGTTTCCACATAAAGATCTCCAGGGAACTATGGAAAATGTGCCTACCTTCCATGTAAGGATTTCCAGGGAACAAAGGAACATCTTCTGCAAGGAGGGAAAGGTCAGGACAGCCTCTGGAACTCTGAAAAAAATAAGAATCTGTTCCTTAAAGTCATGCTCTTGTGGTGTTTCTATTACAGTATCACTAGGTGCTAGGACACAAGAGGAATATGTGTATTAATTTATCTAAATCAGAGCTTAATTTCTTTTTTCCTTTGCAGAATCAAAATTTCAAGCCCCATGGGTTTCCAAAGGGAAAAGAACGGTGAGTGATCCCCCACCCAGTTCTAGGCACAAAATTTTCCCTTTGCTTCCTCATTTCTTGTTTCTTCCTTCCCTCTACCCTTTCTTATCTTCTTACTTCAATCACAGTAACACTAGTAAATAAGGTAGTAATAAATGATATACTTAAATCTTAATCTCACTAAAAACCAAAACCCAATTGCTAATATTAATGTATAAAATATAACACAAATGAAAGACTGCATGAAACATAATGTACATGCATGAAATACAATGCATATGAGTGATAAAAATATTTAACATCTATTCTTTTTTTTTTTCCTAACGGGAGAGTTAAAGGTTTGAAGCTACCAGACACTCCATGGAGTAAATATTTCAGCTCCAACACAGAAAGGGGAGCTGCTATGAGTAGGACTCCATTCAACAGCAATGGATTTGGTTTTCTGAAGTCTATTTTGATGTAACACTGAAATAGCTATTCCTGCTTTATTTTTATTAATGTCTACACAATAAATCTTTTCCCATCCTTTAACTTTCCTGTCCCCCATATGAGTATATTTGAAGTGAATGTCTTATAAATAGAATATAGTTTTTGTCATGTGCTGTCGAGGTAGAATCCACTTATAGCTGATGCTCTAGTGGGTTTTCAGGGACAGTAAATTTTACGAGAGGAGAATTCTCATCTTTCTCCTATGAAGGCACTGGTCGGTTTGTACAGCCTGCCTTTGGGTTGGCAGCACAAATCCTTAACCATTAGGCCACTAGTGTTCCCTGAAGAAAACTGAGCCATATGTATTTTTCAATCCACTTGGTAAGTATATTTTAGTTGCTGTATTTAGACCACTATATTTAATGCTATTGTACTCACAATCAATGTTGATGTAATTATTGATATGGTAGGGATTACATGTATCATTTTATTTTTGTTTTATATTTGTTCTATTTCATTTGTTGTACTGTTTCCTTTTTCTACCTTCTTGTGGATTACTTGAGCATTTAAAAAATAATTCTGTTTTGATTTATCTATATATGATCAAGAACCAGTGTTAACAAAGGAAGAAGTTCAAGCTGCACTGAAGACGTTGGCAAAAAGTAAAATCTCCAAGATTGAGGTGTTTGACAAACAGATGCTGTCCTGGATGTGCTCACCAGGCTGTGTCAAAAAATTTGGAAGACAGCTGACTGGAAGAGAACCATATTTGTTCCTATTCCCATAAAAGGTGATTCAACAGAATGTGGAGATTATATGATAGTATCTTTAATAGCACATACAGGTAAAATCTTGCTGAAAATTGTTAAAAAATGTTTGGAGCAGTACATTTTCAAGTATCTGCCAGAAACTCAAGTTGAATTTAGAAGAAACCATGGTATGAGAAATATTGTAGCTGATGTCAGATGGATCGTGGCTGGAAGTAGAAAGTACCAGAAAGATATTTGCTTGTGTTTATTGACGTTGCAAAAGTATTTGAGCGTATGAATCATAACAACTTTTGGTTAACATTGAGAAGAATGGGAATCCCAGAACACTTGATTGTGCTCTTGTGAAACCCATACATAAATGAAGAAGCAATTGTCCAAATAGAATAAGGAACACTGCATGGTTTAAAACCAGAGAAAGTATGTGGCCAAGGTTGTGTCCTTTCTCTGTATCTATTCAATCTGTATGTGGAGCAAATCATTCAAGAAGCTGGATGATATGAAGAAGAATATAGTATCAGGATAGTTCTATTTTGGTTTATCTATATATGATCAAGAACCAACAGTAGCAAAGGCAGAAGTTCAAGTTGTGTTGATCCAAGTTCATTGCCCCTGATCCAAGCCATATTGTTGTGTGTCATCTAGTGTGAACCCACTCATAGATAGATGATCCCCTAGGGGTTTTCAGAGGCATAGAGCATAGAAGGAGACTGCCCATCTTTTTCCCATGGAGTAGCTGGTGGATTTGAACAGCATGCCGTAATCCAAGCCATAGTCTTTTTAATTTCTTTCTATGCATCTGAAAGTTGAACAATGAATAAGAATGACTGAAGAATGGGTGCCTTTGATTTGTGGTGTTGGAGAAGAGTACTGACTATCTCGCAGACTGCCAAAAGGACAAACGAATATCAGAGGAAATGCAACAAGAGTTCTTTTTAGCAACAATTAATAATAATAAACGCTCCTTAGAGGCAAGAATGGTGAAAGTTCCTCTCCCGTACATTGGGCCTGTTATCAGGAAGGGGCAGTCTTTGGAAAGAGGCATAATGCCAGAATCAGGGAAAGTGCAGTATCAGGGAAAGAGAGGAAGACTTTCACAAGACTCTCACAATGACTCTAAGAGAGGCTCAAGTATGGAGGTAATGGTGAGGGTGGCACAGGACAGAGCCAGGTTCAGATCTGCTGATATAGGGTTGCTGTGAATCACAGCTGATCTGATATTATGTAACACCACCATAACACATCTTTTTTAGATGTTTATTTGTGCACCATTGAGTTTTTAAATATATCTCTTGATATAGATTTTTTTAGTGGTTTTTGTGCGTGTTCTGGTCGCACAGTCCATAGGAAGTTGAACTGCTAATTTGAAGGGGTCACCTTTCTGGAGGTTCAAATTCACCAGCAGTATTTTCTCCATGGGAGAAAGATGGATGGTCTCCTCCTATGTGATTTACAGCCTCCAAAATCCCACCAGAGGGTCAGCTATAAGTTGGCTCAATTCAATGGCAGTGAGTTGAGTTGTTGAGTGGATACTCTATATAATATTTTATCACAGTCTACTAGTGTCTACTAGTTGCCGTACAGTGGTAACTTGTGGTTGCTGTGAGGCTGAACGTTGTGACACTGATGTGTCAAATGTGTTAATGGTTGGTTACCCAATGCAGACAGAGAGTGGGGTGAAGCTCCCCGATTAAAACAAGCTTGGAAGCAGGAGTGACATCCACTTCCGTAACAGCTTGCCTCTGGAAACCCTATGAGCCTGGAGAGAGGATGAAAGACACCCAAGCGTTGAGGACTCTCCTTCATAGGGTGGCTATGAGTCGCCTGCGACTCGATGACACTTAACAACAACAACTAGTGTCGATATTTTATAAGTTCAAGTGACATATCCACACCTTAACCTCCCTTCAATCCCTTTACCTTCTTTGTTTATAATTAACCTTAAATATTTTCTCTACATACACCAAGAACCACATTAGATAATGTCGTAAGTTTGGCTTTAATTTGCAAACATAGTTTAGAAAACTAGAGAAGGAAAAAAAATTTATGTATATTTTACCCTTTCCATTATTATTTATTCCTTCTTGATATTCTGAAATATCTTCTTTTGTCATTTCCTTTCTGTTTGGAGAATTTCCTTTAGCCATTCTTTTAGGGTAAGTCTGTTGGTGACAAATTATCTTTGTTTCCTTTGTCTGAGAATGTCTTCATTCCTGAAGAATATCTTCAGAGGATATAAAATTCTGGGTTGACAGTTCTTTTCTTTTAGCTCTTGAAAAATGTTGTGCCATTTCCTTCTTGTTCCTGTGTTTTCAGCTGAGAAACCTACTTTTTAAAATAATTTTATATTGATTTATTTACAAAGTTCACATACACTGTTTTTTCACACCAGAGATTACCCATTTCTTTCACCCCCCATCAAATTGTGTGACCCTATATTAACCATCCCCCACTCCATGCTCCCATGTTCTCCTCTACTTGGATCCTCATATTCATTCTATAATAATGGTCTTATACAGTATTTGTCCTTATGGGACTGAGTTAGTTCACTTAGTATAATGCTATCCAGACTCTCCCAAGTTAGGTAGTGATTCACAAAATCATTGCTCATGCATTCTGGAGAAACCTACTTTCATTTTAATTGTTTTTGTGAGATCATTTAAAAGACATCATGCATAAAGAAAACAAAAAGTCACTAAGACAAGAAAGAAAGTCTAGTGTGGATGTCAAAAGAGATGCTGAAACTTTCTCTTGAACAGTGAGTAAGTAAAGGGAATGGAAAATATGAAGTAAAAGAGCTGAAGAAAAAAAAAAGATTCCCAGGGACAGCTCAAGAAGGCAGAGGAAAGTATGATAATGAGCTATGCAAAGACCTGGTGTTAGAACTCCAAAAAGGGGAAAAACACGCTTCACATTTTTCCTACTGAAGAAAAACTTAAACTTTGAGTTGTTAGACTGCAGAAGTATAGATAAAATATTGAATGACATAGGAGTCATCAAAAGAAGAAGAGAAGAATACACAGAGTCACTTTACCAAAAAGAATTGGGCAACATTCAGCCATTTCAGGAGATAGTAGATAATCAGACAAAGTTGCACTGGAAACAATGGTGAAAAACAAACTTCCAGGACTTAATGGAATACCAATTGAAATGTCTCAACAAATGGATGCAGCACTGGAAGCCTTCACTCATCTATGGCGGGAAATACGGAAGATATCTACCTGGCCAGCTAAGTGGAAGAGATCCGTATTTGTGTTCATCTCAAAGAAACATGATCCAACAGAATATGGAAATTCTCACACCATATATTTACACATCTAAACAAAGCTATACTGAAGATAATTTCAAAAGCAATTGCAGCAAGTTTAACAGGACAGCAAGCAGTAAATGTTGGAGAGGATGCGGAGAGAGGAATTTTCATACACTGTTGGTGGGATTGTAAAATGGCACAATCACTCTGGAAGGCAATTTGGTGTTTCCTCAAAAAGATGAACATAGAAATCCCATATTACCCAGCTATTCCACTGCTTGGAATATACCCAGAGAAACTTAGAACTGAGATACAAATGGAAATTGTATACCAATGTTCATAGGAAAACATGGAAACAGCCCAAATGTCCAACCACAACAGAATGGATTGAGAAATTGTGATACATTCATACAATGGAATACTACGCAGCCTGCAGGAACAATGAGGAGGGACTGGAGACTATTATGCTAAGTGAACTAATTCAGTCTCATAAGGACAAATACTGTATAAAACCATTTTATTGTAGGATTAGAAAGATAACTAGTAAAACGTGTATGAAGATCCAAGGTGGGGGGAGAGAGCAGCAGGGGGTAAGGATGGGCAGGGGGTAAATCATGATTCTTCTTTTGAACATGTAGCTAGACGAGGCTATTCCTTGGAAAGGGACATCATGCTTGGAAAGATGGACAGTTAGCGAAGGAGAAGATCCCAAATAAGATGGTGTGACACGGTGACATCAGCAATGGGCTCAAGTGTGTCAGAGATGATGAGGATGGCACAGAATAGGTTCAGGTCAGCTGTTGGTAGGATTGCTATGAGTCATACTCAATTCAGTGGCCCCTAATAACAACAGTAATGACGTGTTATGAGAGAAAACCATTTGCTTTGACGGACTCTTTCTGATACTACTCAGCTGAAGAAAGAATATGGTGCTATCTTAGCGTTTCCGTGTTCGGTACGAGTCCAGACTCCCCACTTGGCCTCTCTTGACAGCTGAGGAGAGGGACTTATTTGTTGTTGGTGGTGGTGGTTTTTTAAAATTTTTTAATTGACATTTTAACAAAAGTTTACAGAAAACTTGGATTTCCATTCATTCATTGTGGCACATTTCCCTCCCTACCCTCCCCACCACAGTTCGATTTTCTCTTTAACAAGATTCATTCACGGTTGCACTATTTCCTGCTTCCCACCCCACAGTCCACTTTGCTGTGCACCTCTTATTCTGTACTATTGTCATGAAAATAATGCCTAATCATATATTTCTTTTAGACATTTCTTTCCCACATCAGTTTAAATCTAGTGTTCATTATTTATCCCCTCTTCATTTCTCCCCAACCCCCATGACAGTCCTGTTTTGTAACAATGGCATTATGCAATATTTGTCCTTTTGTGACTGAGATATTTCACTCAGCATAATGTCCGCCAGGGTCATCCTTTTTGTATAATATCTTATGAGTTCCTTGCTTTTCAATGCTGTGTACTATTCCATTGTGTGATTATACCACAGCTTCCTTATCCATTCATTTGTTGATGGGCACTTGGGTTGCTTCCATCTCTTTGCTATTGTTAACAACAGAGCAATACACTTGAGTGTACATATATCTGTTTGGGTGGCAGTTCTGGTTTCTTTAGGGCATATTCCCGGTAGTACAATTGCTGAGTCAAATGATATTTCTATTTGAGACGGACCTTTTACTGCTGAGTGCAAGTGGGAGTTCTGGCTTTCACTAGACTGCCACGGATGTCCCCTTCTGCTTTACTTAGAAGGAATTCCTTGTTACTGGTCCCCACCTGGCCTGCACTGACACCACGTGCTTACTTCTGGGCAGGGCTGAAAGTTCTGACTCTAAGCCTCCTCTGATAGTACCTCAGGAGGGCGGGGGAATAGCTGCTCGCTGATGTGGGATGGGAATGTCCAGGCTCCCTGTGTGACCTCCACTGGTATAGCAAAACTTTATCACCATTGACCTTCTCTGACACCACCGCAGAAGAAGTGTCAGGGGACCTCATTACAACGTCAAGAGAAATCTAGCCTCCTGATTTGGCCTTCTGTGGCATAAGTGGGAATGACTTTGTCTGGCTGGAACAGACTGAGTATTAAAGTTTTCTGTCTTCCTAGATCCTTCTTTCCTGGTCCTTTGTCGACAGAAAGCTGGCTTTTCTTGGGGACTTTTTTGTCAGCACCTCAATGGCTTTTGTGGGTTCCAGTTTATTTAGCTGCATAGCTAGGATATTCATGGCAAAAACAAAACTCAAGAAATTGGCCACTCTGATGTTCTTTGACTCCAAAGGCCCATCTTCTTCCCTCTCTCCACCTTTCACTGTCTTCTATGCTTACTTTTTATGCCATGCCCAGGGTTTTTATCTGTATTCAGCTGGAGGAAAAGGGATAAATGCTGTCTTCCCAGATGCCAAGAAAGGGGACTTGCAAATACTTCCTGTTTAATAAAAGGATTAGTTAGCATATATAAAGTGACTGGACTGTGCCTTGCATATATTAGGGATTAAATAAATGTTTGCTGCCAGTTTTAGTGATTCAAAGATTCTGTAATTCTCAACTTGGTTACTTTAAGTGTCGTCATGCTGTGATGCTAAATTCTGAGGTTCAGTAATTCTAAGGTGACCTTTCTTCCCCCCACCCTCACCCCTTTTTTTCCTGCTCTTGGTCTTTCTGAGGAAAAGAATTGATCCCAAGCAGTGCTTTTTTGACATGTATTGCAGGGAGCAGAGAGCATTGATCCGCTTCAAGACTACCCTTGTGAACACTCTCATGGACGTCCTTCGCCACAGGCCAGGATGGGTGGAAGTGAAGGAGTAAGATATGCAGCCCCCAACCTCATTCCTCCTCCCTTTGTCTTACAGATTCCCATTTCTCATTGTTTTTCTCCCAGTTCCTGGGACCCAAAATGCATGTGACATGAGCTAACATTTATATTGTGTTCACAATGTGCATTGTGGACAACATTTAAGTCTTACCAACATTCAGCAAAATATGATTATGTTCAGAAGTGGTAAGCCAGTTGCCTAAAATCACACAGCATGTAATTTTAGAATGGGATTCAAGCCCAGTTCACCTTGACTATTACACAGTTAGGGCTTATAGTTCTCAATATAAATAAGGAATGCATGTGGGTTTTTTTAAAAAAAACTTATTTTTATATTGATTTGCTGCAAAGCTCATATATATTATCTTTCGGACTATCTTTCATTCACACTGTGTTTCATACAATAGGAATGCATGTTTAAGACTCACTGACTTGACTCTTTTTAGTGAAGGCTAGCTCAAGGACGTCTCTCCCTTGGCACTATTTATTAGTTCTGTGACATTTAACAAATTACTTGACTTCTAAGCCAATGTTCCTTCTGTGCTGGGCTCTGAAGATACTGAGATACTATATGCCAGACATATCCTATGGGCTTGCATTAGTTAGGGTTATGGTTTGCATTCAAGTAACAAAGTGAAAGAGATCCAAAGTGAAAGAGGTTAAAATAGGCTAGAAGTTCATTATCTCTCACATGTAAGTTCAGATTTAGGAAGCTCAGGGCGATGCGCTCCACAGGCACATGGGACCCATCTTTCCATTTCTACTATGCTGTCTGTAGTTAAGGGAACTCTGGTGGTCTAATGACAAGAAGCTGTGATGCAATCCTGAAATTGTGAGGTTCAAATCCACCAGTGCTCCATGGGAGAAGAATGAGCAGTCTCTTCCTGTGTAATTAACTCCCTCTGAAAACCCACCAGAGGGTCAGCTATGGATTGGTTCTGACTCGACGGTACACAACAAAAACAACAACCTCTGTAGTTAGGGAGTTCTGTGGTAAGGTGGCTTAGTGATAAGGAGTTGAATTGTCAACTCAAAGGAACATGGTTTGAATCTACCAACTGCTGCACAGGGAGAAAGATGGGCAGTCTCCTCCTGTGTAATTTACTGCCTTTGAAAACCTCTGGAAGGTCAGTTAGGAGTCAGTTCTGACTCCTTGGCACATAACAATAACAAAGGAGTTTGCAGAGGCAAGAAAAGGAATGTCCTTCCCTTGAAGCAAAGAGACTTAGTGGCATAGTAGATAAAACGCTGGGCTGCTAACCAAAAGGTTGGTAGTTTGATCCCACCAGCCACTCCAAAGGAGAAAATTGAAGCAGACTGTTTCCCGTAAAGATTCACAGCCTCAACAAAACCGTGAGACAGTTCGATAATGTCACTGTGAGGTGCAGTCAGCTCAGTGGAAGTGCATTCATTTGTTTGTTTTTATCCCTTAGAAGACATAACCTAGAAGTACCTAATGTTTCACTGGTCAGAACATAGCCGTGTGATCACATCTAGCTGCAAGGGAATCTGGAAATGTTAGCTCTTCTGGAAGATGTAGACTGCTGCAGGAAAGGGGGAGAATGGCCGTGTGGGATGAGGGTGCAGAGCAATCAGCCTCTTGGCCACTGTGCTCTGCTGAGATGTGTCGAGTAACCAACAGCTGAGCATGCTGGCACTACACCTACCAATAGCTAAGCAAGCCTGCACTGTCCACGATTATAAGCAATTTACTGGCAAGTTCTCATTTAATCGCCCCAGTAGATCTTCTGAGTGGTGATAATCACCCCAATTATCATCTCCATTTTACTGATGAGAAAACTGGGTTAAAGAAGTAAAAATTGTAAAATGCCATGAGCCAGAATTTGAACCTCATCTGTCTGCAGAGAACAGACTCATGTCCACTCCAGTCTAGCTGCCTCTGAGTTGATGAAGAGTAAGATGAATGAATGGATAAACATTTTTATCACCTCCCCCCGAAGAAACCCCATCACATAAGCGGTTTTTTCTCATCTCCCCACTCTCTCCTAACCCCAGGTCACTGTAAGCCTATTTCCCCCTCTATCTTGGTTATCTAGGGCTGCTATAAGAGAAATACCATAAGTGGATAGCTATAGCAAACAGAAATTTGTTTTCTCACTGTTTAAGAGGCTGGAAATTAAAATTCAGGGCATCTAAAAAAAACAAACAAAAAAAATAAATTCAGGGCATCTGCTCTGGGAGAAGGCTTTCTTCCTCTGTTGGCTTCTGAGAAAAATGTCTGCATGTGTCTTGATCAGTTTTCTGAAATCTTGGAGGTTCTCAGCATAGAGACCCTGAGTCCTCTCAGCTCCTCTTTTCTTGACAGTGCTCAGGTCTGTTTCTCTCTACTGCTTCTTATAAAATAAAAGGTAATGTGATGAAGGCCACACCCCAGGAAAGCTCTCCTTACATTGTATCATGGCTGTGACCTCAGTAAGGATCTGAATAAGAACTTAAGAATTCTACATTAATTCCCTTGGCACTGATTGGCTCATCACAGCTTGCAGTCCTTGTAGCTTCTTCCTCTTACAATAATGTTTTCAAGATTTTATGCTGGAGCTTGTATTAGTTCTTTGTCTCTTTCTTCCAAGATGGCCCTGGGTGGACTCAGATTGCTAACCTTTTCCTTAGCAGCCCAGTGCTTGACAGTCCAGCTACTGTTTACAGTCTAATAAATCTCCAGTCATAGCTGTTATGCTCATGGTTATTATGGTCACAGGCCCTGCTGGGTGAGGTTTCTGATGGGCAGAGTGGGGATGGCAGCCTCTGCGTTGTAGTGTCTGGAACTCAGCTGGGAGGAGCCAGCTGGCTGCCAGGTGCTCCTCAGCAGGAATGGTCTGGGGGAGCCTTCAGATTCACAGGGCTGGCAGGTGATGCTGACTGCCTGCTGGGACCTCCCTGGGACTGTTGCCCAAAGAGCCTTTCATGGCTTCTGCATGTGGCTGACCCCCGAGCCAGCAGCCTGTGGGATGGAGGTCCTTTGGAAGCATTTCCTCCCTCCTTCACTATATGGAAATCTGATTCATTTGTCATCACCAGGGAGCTACATCCTAATTTCTCTCTGCTCTTGCCTCAAACTTCCCCAAGATATTTCTCAAAACTCAGCCCACATGTCTGTAATAGCAACAAAAGAGAAACCACTCAAACACCCCTGTTGGGAAAATGGTTAAACGTATTGTGATGTGGTCACACAGCAGAATGATTTGAAATGAGTTAAATGAATTAATTAGATCAGTAGGTATCCAATGGATCAGTGTAAACACAAAAAGGTTAGTGAAAAATGCAGATTGTGAAAGGAAGCAGACAGAAGTGGTTCTAGCCACAAAGCTTAGACTTTAAAGCCTGAGTTCAAGTCCTGGTCTCCCACTTAACTAGGTATATGAATTTGGGCAAGTTCCTTTTTTATAAAAAAATTTTTTTTCAAATATATTTTAACAATTCATCTTCAGAAAGGGTCTTCACAAATAATAAACAAGAAGAGTCAATATTAAGGAACCTTATCTGAGGAATTAAACATACAAAAAGATATGAAAGTAAAATGATAGTGAAATTAAAATTCCAGCTAGATATATTTTTTTACCTATCAGAGTAGTGTAGTGATTTGTTGAGGGGATGAATGCTTATTAATATTTGGTGTAGGCAAAGGTGTGGTAAACTATCAATATTTTTTGTAGGTTTTTAAGTTCCCATAAGGGATTTTTCTAAACATTATTATTAGAATTGTGCCAGTCACTGGTCTAATTTCTTTTAGAGACATTTATTCATATGCACAATGACAGTTATTGTGGCCCTTTCTATGAATTTGGGCAAGTTCTTTAACCTCTTCATGCCTCAGTTTTATCATCTATAAAATGAGCATGATAATAATAGAACCTATCCCTTACTGTTGCTAAGAGAATTGATGTACATATTTATGGAGTAAAAAATTGCTCACCCACAGCCCTCACGTTACTGAGTCACAGCTGACCCTCTGTTGGATTTCTGAGACTGTGAATCACACAGGAGGAGATTGCTCATCTTTCGACCCTAGTGTAACTGGCCTATTTGAACCACCACAGAGGCATGGCCTTAGGGATAGCAATGCAGTTCCCTGTGGATCACACACCAGCAGAGTTGTAAAAGCGTGCCAAACTGTGCCACCTCCTGTCTGAGAATTCTACATATGTCCGTGTCAGAACTCAAACGCATTGCTGTGAAGTGGGAACTGACTCATAGTGGACCCTCCAGTGGGTTTTCGGAGGCTGTAAATCACATGGGAGGAGATTGCCCGTCTTTCGCTCACAGGTCAGATGGTGGTTTTGAACCCCAGAGAGAGGCATTGCCTTTGGGTTAGCAGGGATTCCACAGTGGATTACACCACCAGATTACACCTACATATATGCACATACATGGAGTAAAACTATAAAGACATGCCTAGAAAACACATACCCCCAATTCAGGCTCAGGATTTTCCTTTGGGACAAAAGAGTGGGAGATAGAAACGGGCATGGAGCTTCAGTTCTAGATATAATTTTTTGTTGTATTTCTTTATTATAACATTTTAATTTTATACTGGTTTACTTATAAAGTTTGTATACATTGTTTTTGGCATTGAATCTTTCCCCTTTCCTTTACCCACCCCTTCCCCCACCCATCAAATTGTGCAACCCTATGATTAATCACCACCCCTTCCTCACCCCTCTGCTTCCCCCTCCCTCCCTTGGATCCTTGTACCCATTCTACAATAATGGTTTTACATAGTATTTGTCCTTATGGGACTGAGTTAGTTCACTTAGCATAATGCTCTCCAGTCCCTCCCAAGATCAGAAGCACTCATTTTTTCTTTCCTGCCACGTCTCTGTATAGCACCTCCTTCCCGCCCCCCAGGTATGATGCCAGGATTTGGTAGATTCATCTGGTTTCCTGCTCTTCTCCCTGCGGTTGTGGTCACAGGGTCAGTGTTTGGGGCCAGGCACCTGGACCGGAATCCTTGTGCTGCCATGTCTTTGTCAGCTGAGGTTCTTCACTGGAGCTTCTCCCTCCTTAGAGCCCCGGATGCTTAGAGTCACCTCTCACTCAGGGCTGCTCCGAAGGTTTAGGGAGAGGAAGGATTTGTGAGTGCAAGTGAGGGCTTGTGGATATTACCTAATCTCACAGCTTGGTAACTAGGCATAGGAGTGGATCGGATTGAAGGGACATATGCTTCCAGGTCCAGGCTGGTCCATGTCGAAGTGAAGATGGCTGGGTTGTCATTGTGCTAGGGAATGTGGGGACCTGGAGCATGCCAGCCTATCTAAGGGACACTTCAGCCGAGTGGGACCAGGATGCACTGTGGGCTCAGAGTGGCCACATCTGCTGGTTGCTAAGGAAAGGTGGGAAGCTGGGTTTTTATGGGAACATTTCCCTAGATTTCACACTGGGCATGTCTGTGGGACAGAGGTGACCCACAGCCACCTCTTTGAAACTCCTGATGGAGACCCTGCTGCCTTCCTCAAGCCCCCTCAACATCACCTCCCTGAACATTACACCCCGGCAGTGCTGAGGCCCTCAGGTCATGACCTTTGTGTCCCCCTCTTCAAGTGAAGGGGATTGGGACTTCTACTGGTGTGACGTGAGCTGGCTCCGGGAGAACTTTGACCACACCTACATGGACGAGCACGTGAGGATCAGTCACTTCCGAAACCACTACGAGGTGAGCCAAGTGGGCTGGCGGAGACCGAGTCAGCCATTTCCTGCTGTTGGCCTGTGAGCTCCTAGCGTGGGGATGGTCCAGAATGAAGGTCCCTGGGAGTGTTAAGGGTTCATGCACTCGGCAGCTAACCAAAAGGTTGAAAGGCTGAGCCCACCCACAGGTGCCTTGGAAGAAAGGCCTGGTGATCTACTTCCCAGAAAATTATCCATTAAAACCTATGGATCCCAGCTCTGCTCTGACACACATGGTCACCAAGAGTTGGAGTCAACTCGACAGAATGGGAAACAGGGAATTTGGGGTGCATGTCAGGTAGGGAATGTACAGACTAGCTTTAAGACAAACTAAGGCATTTGGGAGTGTGAGGGCCCAAGACGATGTGAGGGGAAGGCTGGCTTGGGGTGCCAGAATGAAAGAAGTAAGGTCTTTGGGGAGTTATGGTGACTTCAGGGTGGAGCATGTTGGGTGGTTTGAGGTCTTCTGGGAGGGTGGTTCAGGAGGAACTGGAGGAGGCAGTGGTAGAATGTTGTGAAAGGTTAGTGTATCTTAGTGGTTAAAAAGATGAATTTCAGAACAGGTGAGGGTCATTTCAGAGATTCCGTTTCCCCCCCTCTAAGGTGCAGATAATTACAGAGGGATGAGAAGGCGTATCCTGTTAAGATTTACAGCCCAGGAAACCTGAAGGAAGGGCGCTTTGAGTCAGAATCAACTAGATGGCATTGAGCTTGAGTTTGAGAGCTGGCTCTCAGTCAGCATAACTCCTGCTGTTATTATTGCTTTGTGGCCATAGAAGAGGGGCTGGGGTGGGAGGTGGAGCAGGGCAGTGAGCAGCAGCTTCAACAGCCCATCCACCCTGCTACTCAGCTCACCCGCAAGAACTACATGGTGAAGAACCTGAAGCGGTTCCGGAAACAGCTGGAGCGAGACATGGGGAAGCTGGAAGCAGCCAAGTGCGACTTCTTCCCCAAAACCTTTGAGATGCCATGTGAATACCACCTGTTTGTGGAGGAGTTCCGCAAAAACCCTGGCATCACCTGGATCATGAAGCCTGTGAGTGCCCAGTGCTGGGGACGAGGAGGAGAAGTGGGGGAACCTGGGGCTGGAGCAGGGCTCTCTGATAACCTGTCTCAGGACATGACTCTGCCTGGAAATTCAGCTTTGGGTGCACTTTCTGTCTCCCTTGAAGTGCAGACTTTATCTCTTCTCTGTCATGTGATCCAGTAGCTACAGCTGCTGGCACACACAGTAAGTGCTCTATAGGTATTTACTGAATGAATAAGGACACCAGGGTATAGAATCCAGACCCTTGCTGGACCCCAGATCCCTGACAGAAAAAAATGGCCAGGCCATTATGTAGTGTTGCTCTAATGGAAATACTGTAAGTCGATGACTTTAACTAACAAACTTATTCTTTCATAGTTTATGGTGTTGTTGTTATGTGTCCTCAAGTCAACTCTGACACATAGTAACCCTATGCACAATAACTCGGAACTCTGCCCTGTTCTGAGCCAATCTCACTGTCACACACCTACCCCCATTACCGCAGTTACTGTGTTAATCCATCTCATCCTCTCCTGTGCTGTCTTTCCACTCTTCTAACCATGATGTCCTTCTCCAAGGACTGATTCTTCCTGGAAACATACCCAAAGTACATGGGATGGAGCTTCAGAATCCTTGCTTCCATGGAGCAACAGTTTAGGAGGCTAGAAGTTCAAGTTCAGGGCAGCAGCTCTAGGGGAAGGCATGCTTTCTCTTTTGGCTCTGAAGGAAGGTCCTTGTTTTCTTTGAACATTTGTGAGCTAGTATTCCCTGGAGATCTTTGCATGTCTTGTCATTAGTCTTCTCCTGGGCTTGGGAGGTTCTCAGCACAGGAATCCTGGTTCCAAAGGACACATTTTTCCCCCTTTCATCTTTCTTAGTGGTAGTCATGTCCCTCCCACTCTGCTTACTTCTCTCTTCTTTTATATCTTGTAAGATAAAATGCAAGATTAAAGCAAGGTATGTATGACTTGAGTAAAGGTGGGACTTGAGTTGTAACCTCTTGTAAAGTTTTGAATCAAGATACAACCCTCCCTAAGCCTGCATTTTTTTTTACTATAACAAATGCTCCTCCCTGAGAGAGGACGTTTATAAAGAAACAATAAAAGTAAGTTACAGAGGTGGTGGGTGTACCTCAGACACGGCTCCCACTCCCAAACAGGGGTGGTCAGGTGTGTATTTTGGAGTGCTGGGCTGTCCAAAGAGGTGCTGCCTTGTCTCCCTAGCTTTGAATGCTGGCTGGTCCCATGGTTCCCAGCTGCAGGCATCAGTCCTGAGGATGTTAGAGTCAAACCCATTTCCTTGACTTCTGTAATTGCAGAAACAGTGTTTATTACCAAGTATAAATTAGGGGTGGGGGCTGGGAGTGGGAATGGCATTCATGTCCTGGTTGGCTGTTCTTTCGCTCTGTCCTCCTGGGCCTGGATCTTCAGTTCCTCATCAAGGCGCTCCTTTGCTCGGACCACCTTGGACTGCAGGTAGAAGGAGCCTCCCACAGACTTGTCATTCACCTTGAACAAGTGTTCATAATTCTTCAGTATCTCCTCAGAGCTCAGCTTAGAGACGTTGAGGATTTGCTGGGCCTCCTGCAAGCTGAGGCCAGAGAGGCTGGAAGCAGCAGCAGACTGGTGGCCAGCACGCCCCCGAGCATCAGCTGCTGCCCGGCTAGCTGCAAACTCTTGCCGCAGGGCCCGGGCAAAGGCCCTGCCCACCACCTGCATGCCCATCACAATAATCTGGGCCAGGTACTTGGCCATGGTGGCAACCCTGCCACAGGAAGGGAGCTCCGGCTTCCGAGGCCCCTCGGGCCGGCTCTAAGCCTGCATTATTAACTTAAGTTGTTGTTATTGTTTACCGTCCAGACAGAACTAACTCATAGATGACCCTACAGGAGGTTCTCAGAGAGAGTAAATTACATGTGATGAGATTATCCATCTTTCCCTTGCGGAGCAGCTGGTGGATTCGAACTCTGTTACTTTGAACTGGCAGTGCATTTCCTTACCACTGGGCTATCAGAGCTCTATTAACATATGTTGTTGTTGTTGTTATGTGCCATTGAGTCACCTGTGACTCATAGTGACCCTATGTACAACAGCTCTGAAGCCTGCCTTGTCATGAGCCAATCTCACTGACTCCATATAGGGGTTGGAATTTACAACACATCACAAAACAAGTTGCATCAAAAGAAGATGGATGGAACACACACAGAGTCTCTACACCAAAAAAGAGTTTGTTGTTGTTGGACCATTTCAGCAGGTTGCATATAATCAAGAACCAACAGTATTGAACCTGAACTGAAGGCAATGGAGAAAACCAAGGTGGCATGAATTGATGGAATACTGCTTGAAATGTTCCAACAAACAGATGCAGTCTAGATGTGCTCACTCATCTATATGAAGAAATTTGGAAGACAACTACCTGACCAAAAGGAAGAGTTATATATTTGTGTCCATTTCAGAGAAAGATTATTCCACAGAATACAGAAATTGTCAAACAAGATTACTAATACCATATGCAATTAAAATTTGCCCAAAGATAATGAAAAAAACACTTGCTGAAGAACATCAATATGTTGTGCTGTTGTTGTTGTTATGTGCCGTCAAGTTGCCTGAGACTCATAGTGACCATTATGTGTACAACAGCTCTGAATCCTGCCCTGTTCTGAGCCAGTCTCACTGCCTCTAACACACCTACCCCCTTTACCCCAATTGTTGTATCAATCCATCTCATTCAGGTCTTCCTCTCCTATGCTGAGTCTCCACCCTTCAAAGGTATCCTCCTTTAAGGACTGGTCCCTCTTGGCAACATGCCCAAAGTATGTAAGACAGAGTTCAAAATGCTTGCCTTCCTGGAGCAACCTGGCCTCATCCTCTTCAGATCAACACTCTTGGCACCAGTAGTCAGGAAATGAAAAGACAAATTGCACTGGAAAAAGAGGCTCTCATGGACCTCTCCAGAGTGCTGAAGAGCAACAATGTCTGGAAACCACAGTGCACCTGACCCAGGCCATAACTTGCTATGTATCAGAAAGCTGGGCAGTGACTAAGGATGACAGAAGAAGATACCTTTGAATTGTGCTGGAGAAGAGTATTAAACATACCATGGACTGCCAAGAGAAAATCAACATAGCACTCACAATTCAAGCTGTATTCAGAAGAGGATATGGAACAAACAGCATCAGTGCTGATGTCAGAGGGATCTTGGATGAGGGCAGAAAATACCAGAAACATGTTTACTTAAGTTTTATTGACTATCAAAGGCATTCAACTGGGTGAGTCATCACAAATCATGGATATAACATTGAGAAGATTGGGAATTACAGAACACTTAATTGTGTTCATGCAGAACTTGTACATACACACAAAGAAGCAGCCATTTGAACACAATAAGGGGGTATTAAGTAGTTTAAAATTAGGCAAGGTGTGTATCAAGGTTGTATTCTTAACTATACCCATTCAATCTGTATGCTAAGTAGATTCTATGAAGATGAACTCAGCATCAGGTTCGGAAGAACTCACTAACAACCTGCAATATGCTGATGAAAGAACCTTGCTGACTGAACATGAAGAGAACTTGATACACTTCTTGATGAAGCTGGAAACTATAGCCTTCAGTTGATTACATCTCATGGATATAATGGACTCATGGATCACACCTCAACATATTTGTCGTTGTTGTTGTTGTTAGGTGCCGTAGAGTCGAGTAGGACTCATAGCAATGAGTCCTGAGCAGTTATGGACAGCAGATCCGAACCCTGTCCTGTCCTGTGCCATCCTCACCATCTCCGACACACGTGAACCCCCGGTTGCCATCAGTGTGTAAATCCATCGTGTTGAGGGTCTTCCTCTCCTTCATCCTCACAATGGAACTACTGGGCACCTTCAGGATAGATGGAGAAAAGGCAGAAGCTAATTAGGATTTAATCTAACTTGGATTCATAATCAACGTACATGAAAGAGCAGCAGTCAGGAAATCAAAGGAGACTCAAGCTTGCCTGCCAAGCTGGCCTCCTTGGCCTCCTCTCACCCAGAGTTGCACTCTGCATAGCCTTGAATGGTGTCATCAAAGGCCCTACTTTGTTTTCCTAACTTGGGCCTCACAGAGTGTGTTGGGGTTAAGGTAGCACCTTGTGGTGCTGAAGGCAGGGCCTGGGGTTGACTAATACAAATTCAGCCAACAGCACAGGCACTTGGAGGGAATACCCTCATCAGAAGTGGGAGCAGACATCACCATGTGCTCCCCACAAGGGCTGAGGTGGCATTTGAACCTGGGCTGCCCAGATCATTTCGCCTGCCCCTCCTGCCTCTGGAGGACCTGCTAGAAGGCCTCCCTCCATGCCGGGAAGGCGCAGCGAGGAGGGCGCTGAGGCTGGAGCAGTAGGAGTTAGAGGAGCATTAAGACCCACCCAGGACCAATTCCAGCTCCAGCATTATCCTCTAAGACAAATGGTAATTTGTGCTAATTGGGAACGAGCAATCCCATATTAAGTTGATTCCTTTCCCAGCCCACAGCCTTTGTTAGCAGCAGACAGGACAGCTGTAATTAAGAGGAGGAATCTTGGCGCTGTGTGTGTGTGTGTGTGTGTGTGTTTGTCCCCGTCCGTCCTTTCCAAAGCTAAAGCATCCTTTCTGGATCTGGGGTGCTGTTGTGGTGGTGTGGATTCTAATCCTGTGTCTATCACTTGTGAACTGTATGACCCTGAGCCATTTCCAGGCGCAGTGCACTTCTAATCAAAAGGTTGCATGGTTCTGGGGGCTGGAATCCATCTCTGGCTCCACAGGAGAAAGGTGGAGAGGCTCTGCCCATTAAGACTTACAGCCTTGGGGTTCGAGTTTCGTGTGAGAAAATCTAGTCTGGTGTCAAATGTTCATCAATCCATGCTTTTCCCCTCTAAATATTCTCCTCGCAACCCCCCCACCCCCAGATTAGGACCATGATTGGCAAAAAGGTGAGCAGAACACTCTTCAGCTTTACCCTCCCCCGTCCACCTGCTAGTCCTTGTGTCCAGCAGAGGTGATTGACTGCTTTACTTGGATGTGAATGCCCTTGGCAACACTGGGCTGGCCTCAGCTCTGGGGACCTCTGTTCAAACACCAAGGAAGGAAGAACCATATTTTTTCTATTATGACTGTAAAAATATATGTGATAGGTAAAAAAAAAATATGTAACACAAATACTGCATAAGGCCATTATTTTAAAAATAGAAGGATAACTAGTTAAACATGTATGGGGACTCAAGGGGAGAAGGGATGGGAGGAGAGGGGTGAGGATGGGTACGGGCAAAATTACAGAGTTGCACAATTTGGTAGGTGGAGGGAGGGGATAAAAGAAATGAGAAAGATCCAGTGGCGATCCGAAAAGACAGCACATAGTCCAATGGCAATTAGTTTTTTAAATTTTTTATTGAGATTTTCATGGAAGTTTACAGAAAACTTATATTTCCATTAATGGTGATTAATTTTATAAAATGATTGTATGAAACACAATCTGAATAAAGAATAGTGTAAAGCACAATGTATACAGACTTTGTAAGCAATTGAATATAAAAATCAAAATTTTAAAAAATATGTATGTAACACAACATTTGCCAACCCAATGTTTCTCAGGTGTATAGTAACTGATTCGTGTTATCAGTAACAAGCATCTTCCATAATTATTGGCAAGTATCCTGCCATCATGGAAGAGCCACCTTTCAACATGCTACTCTAGTTCCTGGAGCTTTTCAACTGAAATTTTTCCAGAGTTGGGATGCTTTGGGCTGCAAGTAACAGAAAGCCCAGCCAGCTGGAGCTCACGTAGCAGGAAGGGTTTCTGAGCCATTTTTATGCTCTGGCATCCTGTGACATCTATGGGCCCTGTCATAGAAGCCATAATGTTGTGTGTTTTTTCCAACCGATAACCACTTATTTTGATACGTATATTTAGATTTGCTATGGCATTGCAAAATTACTAGATCTATCAATACCCTTCAAACAAATTCTCTTAATATTGACATAACCATATTCATAGAACTGAAAGCCAGTCTAAAAGAAAACTATTTCTTAAGTGCTCAATATTTTTTTTTATTTAATTGTGTTGGTGGTGTTAGGTGTTGTAAAGTGGAGTATGACTCACAGCGGCCCTATGAACAAGAGATCTCAACTCTGTTCTATCCTGTGTCATCCTCACACTTTCTGACACACAAGAGCCCATTGCAGCAGTCATGCGCCAATTCACCCGGTTGAGGGTCTTTCTCTCCTTCACCGACCATCCACCCTTCCCAGCATCATGTCCCTCTCCAAGGACTAGCCCCTCCTAGCAACATGCCCAAAGTATGTGACACAAAGCTTCATCATGCTCGCCTCCAAAACACACTCTTGAGGCGCCCTCTCCCAGACATATCTGTTTGTTCTTTTGGCAATCCATGGGATGTTTAGGGTTCTTCTTCAACACCACAGCTCAAAAGCATTAATTCTTCTTTTGTTATCCTTATTCATTATCCAGGTCTCAGATACATAGCAAATGATCAGAAAGACTAAAACCTGAATCAGATGCACTTTAGTCCTCAAACTGACATCATTACTCCTCAATAATTTGGAGATGTCCCTAACTGTAGATTTTCCCAGTGCAGTGTGTCTCCTTATTTCCTGACTGCTGGTACCAAAGGTGTTAATTTTAGATCCAAGCGAGATGAAGCTGTCAACAGTTTCGTCTCCTCTCCATCAATCATGATGTTGCCTATCGTTCCAGTGATAAGAATCTTTGTTTTCTTGACACG